AAAAGGGAAAGAGAAAAAGATGGAGTGGTGGTTAGATGTTTGGAAAAACTCTGTCGAAATTCACTACTACTCTTTGTTTTATTGCTAATGATAACAAAGCTGTTACGAACATGAACAAGATAGATTCGTATAAAAGTCACCAACAAATCAAAGACACTCATGTGAAACTTATTAAACCTTAACCTCCAACATGGATGATGATGATGATGAATCCCCTCACACTCCCTAACTCAACACAGTCTATGGTTGGACAGTCGTTCCCATGCATGCGCTTGTCTCAACGGTGTATCTCATCTTCGTTCTCATCCTCATCCTCCTCCTCCTTATCGTTATTTCCATCATCATTATTATTGTCCTCATTGTTATCGTTGTCATCATCTTCATCTTCTTCCTCTTCCTGATCTCCAGCCACGGAATTCCACAACTCTTCATTAGCAATGACTTCTTTCTCTTCCTTCTCAACGTCGGGTCCCAAGCGAGAGATAAAACACAGAAGACCCATCTCACTCAAGTTCCAATTTTGGAAGGCAGCATCAACAGAAGCATAGCGAAGAGGAGACTCAATGTCTTGCACCTGGTCACCAAGGGCACTGAAAATGAGAGTACTGTACTCAGCGGCGTCAACGAGGCGAGTGAAGGTACTGGCCAGCGCGTAGGCTCTGCCCTGGTGCGGGAGATCAGGTGGGCTCATGCCTCTAATGTTGACAAGGCTATCTGTCATTGTCTTCACACGCATACTCTCCATTATCATCTTCGTCGTCACCGACATGCGGCACGCCCTTAGGAAGCTTGAATTCTGGTCCTCCATGCAGAAACGGGAAATTCCTGGGATATTCCCTATCTCCATTAGGGCTTCATGTGCCAAGGGTTCAAAATGAGGTCGTAACCTTTTCAACATTCCCGGTTCATTGTATTGCATCCGATACCCACCTTCATATAATAATCAAAATCATTCAAATAATTAATGTGTCCAACGATATATAGAAATAAATTTTACTTACAAATTCATATGAAATATAATTAAGACAACAAAATAGTAAGATTTAGGTAAAATGTGTAAATAATTAAGGAGAAACTGCTATCACATCTCTTGAAGTATGTCAAAATAACACTGATTTTTTAATTTTTTTTTTCTATTTTATTAGTTGAGATTCATTTTTCCTTATTTTATAATCCAGTTTTCACATATCATCTCTATCATAATGTTATATAACTTGCATGTTAAACTCATTCTTTTACTGCATAAACTTCTTTTTGCTGCTAAAAAAATCACAATACATTAATATCATATTTCTACTCTCAGTTTCATAGTACCTAATATGACATAATAGAAATATAAAATAAATATTATTTGATGAATTACACAAAGATGCAAGTGATTAATTCCATCTAAAATTTCTATCAATAATATTAATCATCCACAATTAAATTCAAATAATATGATGTATGTATCAATTTAGGATGTGACTTTGTTGGAATTTGACTTTACAGTTTCAACAATAAATTTTTCTGTCAATTTTCAAAGTCACAAAAAAGATTAATCATGTAGGTTTTTATAAAACTACAGTTCTATTTACATAAATTAAAATAAAAACAATCTAAATACCTATTACTCAAAATGATAACAATTTGCGGAACATTTCTAGAACATTCTAATTGTTAACCCACAATGGATTAGCAACTACATAAAATATTTCACAATAAATAATTCAATCTAACATAACACTAATTACACAAACAATTTACTAAAACAAAATCATTCCATTCCATAAAGACGAGTACAAAAGAGAAAATTTATGCGTTTATAATTTTTTACTTGAGCAATTTTTAGTTTTATAATTTAACTTAAGTTAAACATAAATAATACTTTATAATTAAACTTAGAGGTAATTAATCAAATTTTCTAATAAAGATTAATTATTTATAGACAGACCAATGAATACTTCATATATAAATAATCCAATTGCTTAAAAAATTATAAATATAAAAAAGAATAAATTAAATTAGTACAAGTTATTTGTACTTAGGTAATATTGAGAAAACAAAAAATAAAGACGTATGTAGTGGGTTGTAATTAATTAATAAAATAGAAAAGAGATATATGTACCTAGCTTTCTTTGTCTAAGATCCTTGTAATGGCCATATTTGTTGAACACACTTGAAAGGATTCTGAGGCGTTCTCGACTGCAATGGCCAGGGAGTTGAAGGGCGTACAAGAGGCCAGGTAGGGCAATGACAAAGGTGCGAGTGGTGACTCGGAGAACAACAGTGTCCTTTGTGAGAGGCCATTTGAACTTTTCGACGCAGCAAATATGAGCAAGAATGGGACAGTTGATCTGCATAATCATCTTCAGTGTAAAGGGCCCTACGCTCAGTGTTCTCTCTCTCTGTGTGCTTTCATACTCCAGCAAGCTCAGTATACTCACTTGGTAGCTAAAAAGTACAGTGATGCTTCCACGGGAGATCGTGTTTTCATCTTCTTCAACGAATCTTAAGCCGTGATGCATGGCTACAATTAACAATGCAAAATCCAAAAAAAAACTGGTCTAGGAACTAGATGTACCTGCTTGCTTTGAGAGCTTCGATCGATCCTTCCTTCAATACATGCAAATAATGCTTAATTAATTACACCATTTTTATATAATAAAAAAAATGCAGAATCAAACAAACAAATAAAAAGTACATGTTGATCAGAGTAAACATAGATTATTATTATAGGGAAATCTTATTGCAATCTTTACTGATTTGCTTTCAAGTAATAACCACAAGCAAAATTCAACTAAATTACATGTATATGAGATCCTTAATCAACAATGGAGTTTTGTGACTAGTGAATTAGGAAAAATCGAGAGATGTATATACACACACATAAGGGGGAGGGTGACAAAATTGCCTCAAAGGATAGAGAAAAAAATATTAGTTAAAGGATTAGAAGAGATGAGGAAGGAAGTTAGATGGAGTAAGAGAGGGGGGATAGGATTGCATCTTAGAAAGAAATAAAAAAATGGGTTGTGAGAGAGATAGTAATACCACACCACTAAAATGAGGATATGTTAATTGGAGGGATGAGGGAGGAGGAACAAGAGTGGGGCTTATATAGTATTAAGGAGTACTGAAAGTGCATGTATCTCTAAGTATTCACCTTCAGTCTGACTCAGGCAATTGCAGTGAGGAAAAACAATCTTATCCTTGTTACCTTATATCATTCTGGATTGATTAAGGAGTATTAATGTTGTGAGCTAAAATATGTAAGATTATAAGTTTAATAGGATATTATACATAATAGTGTTTAGTTTAAGGATTTTCGATTTATTATTAAATTTTTATTTGATAGTCATGGAAATATTATCTTTTATCTATTATTTTTAAAAATATATATATAATTTATACAAGACTTTCAAATTATATGTTTCAAATTTTACACATGTACATTTTTCATAAAATTTTTACATTATTTCATGAAAACTACTATAGTCGACTTAGTAGTGAAAAATTTTAAGTTCGATGATTCTTATTAATATATATATATATAAAGTATGCATGAATTAATGCATCATTAGCTGTCATTCTTTAGTTTTCAGTTTTTAAAACTAATAGATTTTTGCTTATTCTTTAAGATGGGAAAAAACTTTATTATGGGTAAGAGTTATTTGAAACTATTTTAAAACTTTTAATTATTATTAATTAACAAATCTGAAACATTTATTTTTAATTTTTTAAATTAATTTATTAAATAAATAACATTCACTGAGAAAATTGACTTATAATAGTAAACAAAAACTATCACTAAATATTAAAAATAGGTAAATGTTTATTTTGCATTGATTCACACATGGTAACGTAATAATAGACTCAATTTTTTTTTTTTTGCACACAGGACAATTGAACCCTTGTAAACATGTTTAAAAGAAAAAAAAAAGTTAATTATTTATACAAACAATGTTGAAATCTAATATTTCTCTAAAGAAGTGTTTTGATAGGAATTTTTTTTTTATATTTGAAAATCGTGATTCTTGAGAATTATAATCCTTAGGAATTATGATTGTTAGAAATGACTAAAATTCGTTTAATTACTTATAAAGATTCTTAAAAATATTTATATAGGTTTCTTAAGAAATGAAAACCCTTATGTTTAATTACAATATTACTTTCTTGACTATATAAATATTTTTTTACAAAAATATCATTTACAGAAAATTGAGTTTCTTCTTCTTTCTAGATGTAACTATGTCATAATCTAACATAAAAAAATATCATGTTTAGTTTGAAATAACAAATCAAAAATTTACATATGATTAAACTATACGTAAAATCACAGTAAATCAAAGTATAAAATATAATTTTCATAGTTTATCATAATAATTTAAAAAAAAAAGTTAAATTAACAATTAAAAATGAATATAAGTAAACGAAAAAATAATATATATATTTATAGCATTATTTTGCTTAAATAATTTATTAAATTTAGAAGCTAAAAATCATAATAAGAAATTAACGATGCATGAAATTTTATAATTAATAAATTTTAAGTAATTATAAAATATATATTTTATGAAAATTACATGATTATATAACTTTTACTAGTTAATTACTCATGCGTTCGCACAGGTTGAGTTGGTTCGTATTATTATATTTTTTTAGTAAGAATTAAAAGTTAATAAAAATTTTAAAAATTAGTATAAAAACAAGGATAATCATGAAAATAGGGACATAGATAGAAGAATTTAATTAACAATATAGTTCACATCAAAATAAAAAGATATAAAACATTTTATATTATATGATTAGATAACAATTTTTCATGAAAATACTTTTAACATTCTCATTTGTTGATGTCTTTATGAAATACAACTAATAAGTTCCAAAGTGGTATAAATGTAATCAAAAGCATTTAATTGAAGAATACAACTAATGAGTCATAAAAGTGTTGTATATCTCTGCATGTAAGAAATATGCATGTATTCTTCAATTAACTACATGTGAAAATTGTTGTCTATCTTCCATCAATGTAGCAACTGTACAAAAAGTTAAAAAAAAATAGTAATTATAGGTTTGAGGTGATAAAGTTTGATATGATTAAAAACTTATATAAATTTGGTACTCACAATGTTTGGTTCCATTGTATCTAATCTGGTATAAGACCTAGAAGCATAGTATTAAAGATGCAAAAGTATCATATAGCAATATTTGTACATATGACATCAAATTAATGCTCCTGCATTCACAAATTGTAATTTGTGTAATTAAGTTTTACAATTGAACCTATATTCTACCATGCAACGTATATTTTGAGTATTTAAATATCAAAAAAATTAAAATGTATCTATGTATAGAAATTTTAAAAGAATAACTACAATTGAAAAGTTATACATGTATATGATTTCTTACCTATTAAAGGTTTTGCAACACTTTTAAAAGTTTTAAAAGACCTCCTTAAAAACAACATCAGTAGTAGACATCAATAGTTTATTTTCTTTGTTATGAAGCCTCTGTTTGCTTTGAACTCTAGATTGCAACATATAATTGTCCATGACTAAACACTGGCCTAGGTAAGTATAATCCAACAATTTGCTAACGATTGACTTTGGGACTTATTAATTGTCATTGCATAGGAAACAATGATTGAAAATTGTCTCCTAATCAACTTAAAACGCCATGGAGATTGTGATGGAGACATAGACATATGTGTTATATAAATCTCATTTCTGTTTGAATTTTCAGATATTATCTTTGCTCCAATGACATGATTAACTAGTCTTGTAATAATCATGCGGGTACCATTACACAATTCTTCAAATTGATCTAAATTCTTTAAAATCATCACAGGTGTTCCAATAATCAGCAATTTAATTTTATGATTTGGAAGACCTAATGTTCTAACAGAATTTAAAAACTCAGGTGTGAGTACATCAAAAGTTTGGCTTTCAGTTAACTTTGAATTCTCAATAGAATCATAGCTAAGGTATTTTTTTTCATCCTCTACAACAATATCAACAAAAAATAGTCAATTAAGTTGAAACTACTATTCATCACACTAAGTATTTAAAATGTTGGATTGTACAGTGAAAGAAATACCTATAATTATAAACAATACATATTCATTGACTTGGTGAAAATCTAAGATTTGATGTAGATGTTGTGATGGTTAAGCTTGGCCCAGAGTTAATTCCTTCTAGATTTGATAAGTTATGATTGACCTCAACAAGCTTTTTCAATAGATTTTCACCCTAGAAATGAACATGAGTTGTATTTCTTCTATTTTTTAGTAGAATTTGGTGTGCACTTGGCTGTGTGTAGATGTTATTCGAGTGACAAATTTGTTCGTTCTCCCAATTTAGTACGTTGAAATTAATCTCAAAAAGTGGAGTATTGTCTCTTGATCTTTGTTGAGAACACAATTGTTTAGTTTCAACTCCTCTAATTGATATATTTGCAATCTTTTCGCGTAGCACATTTTTTCTTTTCAAACGTGCTTTAGCAGCAACTTCTTTAGTTAAATTTTGTTCATTGTCCATTTCCATGCCTATGAGAGATTCTAACATAAAATAATGCCATAATATTTGACAATATGGTAATATAACATTAAGTATGATATATTATTACATAATTTGTCACTCAGACTTTTATTTATATAATTAAGTATCTTAAATTATGATTTCTTGTCATATGATATATTGTTGCATGATTTCTACTTATGAAGGTAGAGATCTGCTAGATTTCCTCCAACTCATACAAACTAATATTTACTACTCTGCTTTATAATGATGTTGGTGGATCAATTGGGAAATTATTCTATTATTTATAATAGACATGTTTTCATAAGTTAGAAAAATCACTAAAACAGTGTCAATGCCAATCAACACTCTTCTATCAACAACATTTAGTAATTATGAATATATGATCAATGATACTAATAGAAACCATGCCTATGAGAAATTTAAACAAAACAATGTCTTAAAATTTGACAATATGGTACTATAACATTGAAATATGAAGTTAAAGTAGCATTGAGTATGATTTCTTGCTGCATGATTTCTTGCTTGGACTTCTATTTATAAAGCTAAGTATCTTATAATGATAGGTATATATATTGCTAAGGGATGAGTTGAAACTTACCGAACATCAATGCCTCTAGTAGTGACTCAGATGGAGTGGTAACTTTAAATAAACATGTCACTGAGCTTGCAAACACACATAAATAGTTGTTAATATTGTCATTCAATATTAATATGAAATTCGAGTTGCAAATAAACGCAAAAGAAACCAATTAATGGAGATGAAGATTAATGCAGTTGAAAGCGATGAAGATTAATGCATGTCTCTTGAACAGGTAATAACTACATTTTGATTAGCTAATAAAAAAATGTATTGGAGGAAGTAAAGTTAGGGAAGATGAAGTTTTGGGGTCTTTAAATAAACCTGTCACTCAGCTTGCAAACACGCATAAATAGTTTGCTAATGTTGTCATTTAAGATTAATATGAAAGTCGAGCTGCAAGTAAATACAAAAGGATCCGATTAATGGAGATGAAAATTAATGGAGCTGGAAATAGATGAAGATTAATGCATGTCTCTTGAATAGGTAAAAACTACATTTTAATTTGCTAATAAAAAATGTAATGGAGGAAGTAAAGTTAGGGAAGAAGTTGTAGGGTCTTTTTGATCTTTGGTAGAAGGTTTCACATCACATCAGTCATTTTTACCATCTTTTGATAACACATGTTTCAAGATAGAGCAGAGAACAACAGTGATAGCATATTGGTTAAGGCTACATCTGTATATGGTGATGCCCACAAGCATGTAGAAAAGGAACATGAAGAATTAAATACTATGTAGTCAAGCACTTCTCTTTTATCCCGGTAAGAACATTTGGCGCCCACCGTGGGGCCGATCAAGACAGCTCTTATCGGCCACGCTTATGGTTTTCACCAGAAGCCACAGCAGACGCGCAACTGACGACCTAGATCACACGACTAGCATGGACAACAAAGCAACATTGAGACGACTGATCGAACAAGTCGAGCAGATGCGGTAGCAACATACCACCGATCTGCAA